AGAGGGTGGCGAGGAACAGGAGAGCACCAATAGGAGGGTGGCGATCAACAAGAGGTCGCCAATAGGTGGGAGGGTGGTCATCAACTGGAAGTCGCCAATGAGCGGAAGGGTGACGATTAAAATGGGGGTGGCAATGGTGAGGAGGGCGCCTTTGCTCAAGAGGATGACACGAACAGGAGGGCGTCTGTGCGGAGGGCGCTGGTCAACAGGAAGGTGCCAGTGGATAGGAGGGCGGTGATCAACAGGAGGGTGCCAGTGGTTAGGAGGGCGGCGATCTACACGAGGGCGCCAATAGGAGAAGGGCCCCGATTAACATTCAACAGGAAGGACTAGGGAACCAATAGGTAGGAGGGCGGCACTGAACAAGAGGGTGCCAAAAGGGAGAAAGGCGGCCTTCAAAATTTCACATGAGGGCTCAATAGGTAGGAGAGCGCCAATAATTATGAGGACGCCGATCAGCAGAAGGGCGGCAATGTGTAGCAGGGTGGCGACCTACAGGAGGGCGCCTTCGGGTGAGAGGGCGCTTATTTACAGGACAGCGGCTTACATAGGCGACCACCGTTACGCTTAGAGAGCTACAGCCTACAAATGTGGTTGGAGGGCGCCCGAGGGAGCCCTCCAACCGTATTTGGAGGGCGTATTTGGAATGGGCGTCCTCCGAGGGCGCCCTCCATCCGTATTTTCCCTGTAAACACATTCGCGATTGGAGGGCGCCCTCCAGTCGCGATTGTTTTTCGATTCGATTATATCACAATTGCATTTGCGATTGGAGGGCGCCTTCGGCGCCCTCCAATCGCAAAGGGCGCCTTCGGCGCCCAAGGGGGGGGGGCCATGGCCCAGTGGCCCCCCCCTGCCTACGCCCCTGAACAGATGCTCCAAGTCGTGTCTTAAATTTGGTAGCGCTACGTGCTATAGAACTCACGCTATCAACGAAAAACTCTGGCATTCGGTTGCCGCTAAACTGTTAGTCCAATTTTCCCCTGACCTTGTACCGGGTTTGTGACCTGGTGACCTGACCTGAAAAGACTAGAGACCTGAAATTTTCAGGACAAGTGCCAAAAGGTTGCCCCAGAGGGTATGCGAAATTTGAGCGCCGCCGTTTTTACGTTATTTGTGAAAAACCTTAGGGGGGTGCATCAACCCCCCTCATCGGGCGAGGGCTAACTAACATAATACATTGTAGTAAAGGCTACCCGAACCGGTAATGATTCTTGCTTATTTGTTCAGCTCAGCCGTATTTAGAGATTTAGCTGGCTTTGTCCATGAATAACAATATCGGCAGGGGCGTAGCCAAGGGGGAGGGGCCACGGGGGCAATGGCCCCCTCCCTTGAGCGCAAAACGCGCCATGGGAGAGCCCCTCAGGCCCCGGGATATTTTTTTTTCAAACACTGGATAAAACATCTTTTACTCGGAAGAAAATTGATATCGAAGTTTCATTTCTCTGGCCTTCTGATGACCCAATGGGCCCCTGCACTCATCCGATGACCCCCGGTTTTCTGGGGCCCCTGGTCGCCTAGGGGGCCCCGGTCGCTTGAGGGCTAGTCGCCTGGGGGCCCCTGGTCGCCTGGGGGCCTGGTCGCCTGGCCCCTGCCCCCTGGTCGCCTGGAAGAACGTTTGTCACCTGCAGTGGCATAGCCAATGAGGGGGCCAAAGGGACCATGCCCCCCCCCTGGAAGCCAGGGGTCCTTATTCTATAGGGGCCCCTGGCTGACACAGTGGGCCCTTGGCGACGCAAAGGCCCCTGCGGCAGATCCTTTGACACAGCTGAGTAGTTATACTTTGGCCAAGAGAGCCCCAATTTTAGAGCCTTGGGGCCCTATTGAAACCAGGGGGCCAGTTGGATGGGATGGGTCCAACTTGGGTCCAACGGTGTGTAAACAGAATCAATGCGTTCCGACTGTTGGTCTGACCCTATATCGGTTTGAGGGAGCTCGGATCGGATCCACTGTCGATTTGAGGGGGCCCTATCGGTTTGAGAAAGCCCTCAAATGCCCTGAACGGGTCCTTAGTTTGTCTAAGAGAGCCCTCCGTCGGCATGACTGGGCCTCTGCAAGTGCAAGGAGGGCTTTTGTCGGTCTTAGTGGCCCTTAGGCGGCTTATATGACCCTCAGACGGCTTACGAGGCTCTCATGCGCTGTAGGGGCCTCTGACGGTCTGAAGAACCCTCATCCGACCTACGGGCCCTCAGACCGCCCTCAAAACCGACTGGCGACTCTATGAAGCTATTCGTGGGCCTATCTAACAGGGCCCATGGACTGCTTACCCCCTAAGTTCTAATATTTTTGTTAATAAATATTTTTTTCCTATTTATTTGGGCCCCCTCCAAAAAATATTGGATGCAACCAGATGGCTTTTTGGATTTTGAGGGGGTTATCTTGGGCCCCTGTGCGTTTGGCCCCCTCCTTGAGGAAATCCTGGCTACGCCCCTGAATATCGGGCAACCAGAAAACTTTTTTGACCTTCAAACAGCATCCAGTTTGCTTAAGACCAGAAAGGTAGTACCGGACGTCCGGCCGGACCAGAATTTTTGCATTGGGGCATTCCACGTCAAATCGAACAAAAATCGGCTGTTTTGCACCTTACCATCAGCGATTTCATTATAAATTTGTGAGCGAGTTCCTGTGTCGCCCCGGACATTACATTGATGTTTTTTGCACATTCTGACCACAGGTCTTCTAAATATAGGGCATCGAATTTTTACAAAATGTTGCATCTTTATATTTTTGAACGACCATAACTTTGGTTGTACTTGTTTGATTTGAATGAAATAAACCTTACTGTTTAGGTAATTTCTTAAGCATTTGTTTAGAATTGCATCGACTTAAATATATGACCTTGAAATTTGCTTAACTCTGTTCTTAAGCACAAAAATTGAAATAGCAAAAAACACGCCACCTTCGATTTGGCTCATTTTCATATATTTTATTGCCTACCATATTCTTAACAACCTGTGAAAAAATTAGAGTGGGCCATTCATAAGTTTTGAAGGAAATGGCACATATGCAAACGTATGTTAGCACGCGCAGTGGAGGGGGAAGAGTGAGTTTCGCCCCACCCCTCCTGTTTTTCGCCAATATCTCATAATATTGATGCGAAATTACTTATGGCTACCTGTCCAGAATTGAATTGATCATCTCATCGTGCAAGCAATAAGAAAATTGGTTCACAACTGTTCTAGTAATAGCGGTGTAAAGTGAACATCCTGTCGCCGCGGCGACGCGGCGACTCGGCAGCCGGCGCCGACCGCTACGCGCCGCCTGAATTGTAGACTGTGCCGGGACGGAACGGAACGGTTCCGTCTTTACATCGCGCTCCTTACCGCTGATTACGTTCGATTCGCGTCAAATTTTGTGAGAAGACTAAGAAATGTACAGGCAATCTTATGGTGAAAGAATTCTGAAAATAGGTTGGTAAACAATTGAAATATGAACGTGTAAACACAAAATTGTGACTGCTGCGTTTCCCGCGTCGGCCGATCCCGCCTCAGCCGGCGACATGTTACTCAATTAGCAGGACTCTAACTGCCATATTTATTATCGGATTAACTAGAAATTCCCCATACATACTCAAAAATGTATGTTCTTTCGTATAGTGAAGATCAAAAGACGTGAAGATATCGTTGCGTGATAATGTTTTCGTTGAATTTATTTCATGATGCATTTCCACACGGCTCAAAATTCACCGCAAAATACCGTTTGCCTGAGACACTTTTACAATGGAACGTGAATGCTTGACTACGATGACTATGCATTTCCATTCTCGCAGAGTTTGGGATATCACTAATCAGCAATCAGTCATTTCAGAAAGTGTACACAAGCAAGCATGTCTTGACTCTGTCTTTCAAGGACACGCGCGGTTGCGTGATGTTGATGCATGAAACGGCGTTTGCCGCGAAAGTTATGAATGGCCCACTCCAATTCTTTCACAGCTGGTTAGGAACATTGTGACGGACATAATATGTAAAAATTACTAAAATCGAAGGTGGCGTGTTTTTTGCTATTTAAATTTTTCTGTTTTCATTCAAGGTCAAATGCATTTCAAGGTCACTTCAATTTAATTCTATAATTAAAAATCAAAGTCTTATCAATTGCCTACAAGACCCTATTAATATAATTTTGATACCAGAAAAGGAACCAGAGTTATAAGCATTTAAAAAAATAATGTGTGGCATTTTTGGCTATATTCGATGACCTATATCTCGGCGATACGTTATCAAATTTCGAAAATATTATACGTAACTCAGTTTTGAACCATGCCCAGTCTGCCTACAAATTTTCAGAAAAATCGAAGGGGATGACGGATTTCGGTGTTTGATTTGACGTGGAATGCCCCATTTGCTTCTGGGTGGGCAAATCGACGCCACTGGGTGGGCAATTGTGGTGACTGGGTGGGCATTTGCCCACCCAGTGGGTATGTTAGAGGAGGCCCTGCAGTTTGTCTACACGCCTGTTTGTAAGGTTTTGTTGTGCGTCGCTTAACGGTGGTTTAAACCTGCTCCATTTAAAACGCCAATAATAGCTGGTAGACCAGCGGCATTATTAATGGGTGATTGACCTTTCGTGAGCCGGGGACTCTGTCGGAATGGCCGTAGTTACTCACCATCATGACTTGTCCCCGATAGTCGTACATCATAGTTGATAACAGTTTCCCTGGAGCCGACCCCAACTCGTGGCGCCAACTCCGACCAGACTCGGCCGACAAGTTTCGGCTCAGAATTCACAAGTCCAACATAAAATGGGCGTTATTTATTATTTGTGTCCACCGGGCTGTATGAGCGTCTAAACTAATAGGAAAATAAGCTTTGTGACCTTCGCCGGATTTGGGAACGCATGCCTGCCGCTCTGTTTCCTCTTGTTTTACTTGTGTTGGTCACCGAGTGGTAAGAAGGGCCTATGTCGCACAGTCGGTAAGGGTGTTTACTCGGCCGCGCAGCGGTGGAATTGGACCTTAGTGACACGGGAAGGCTTGATCGGCAAAATCGGACCTGCGATCCATCCCACAAGGCAGGCGACTATTCCGGTTGGCTGTCCGAGCAGGGAGGGCGCGTTTCGAGCGAGCTGAGTAGCTTTTCAGTGCTGAACTTCCCCGTGACGAGGAGGCACGTATCAACGAGACACGCGCACCGCACGTCATCGCAAGGTTGCGCGAAGGTCATCTGCTGCTGGTTGGCGTTTTATTGGACTGATTGAAGATCAGGTGAGTGGCGAGTCACGCTAAAGTTTACACTAAATTGTATTTTCATAGCATGTAGCGACTTGTAAACTAGTGTGATTTTGAAAGATTCTGCCTACTTCTTGTCGCTGTCATAATTATTTGGTGAATGCTGGCAATTAGTCAATGGCGGAGTCCACAGTATATCAATATTGCAATCTTGGCCTACTTAATCATGAATTCGACATTCGCACGTTCTTTTTACTTCAATTAGTTTTACTTTGGCACCTCGTCATTATTAAGATACATTTTGCTTCCGATTTTCGTGTGTTGCTATCACTTAAAAGTTACAAGTATCGATTTCGGTTTGAAAACCTGTTGCGTTATGTATTCTCATTTCTGCAATCCATATGGCACGCTCTCCCCGTCTTTGCGGCTGTTTCGTTACACCGCCCTTTCTCCCGCTCCGTCTGAATCCCCGGCCCATGGTCACGCCACAGACCACGTCAGTCATGGCATGCAAATCGCGAGCTCGGCTGCAGCGCAGTCTCGTCCCGGGCGACCCGACCGGTCCCCGCTCGCCAGAAATACCCCGTCTCTCCCACGGCGCCGCCTCTGTCGGGCGACCTCGCTGCCCCGGCCGCGGCCCGTGAATCAGCTGGCGCGTCCGGGACGCTCGGTTCCCTCCCCTCCCCCCCCCCGGCGGCCAGACGCGCGCGCCCGCACCGGAGCGCCCAACAACAATGGCCGCCGCGCCGCGCCGCCGCGTCGACTGGCGTGACCTCCGACCGGCCGGGCGTCAAGAACTGACGGGCCGCCGCGGCCCCGGGGGGAGGGGGGCAGTACTGTGGGCGGGGCCGCCACCGCCTGAGGGGGCGGGGAGGGTCACGGGACGTGTTTGCTCGCACTGTGGGGTGAATACGATCGATGCGATGTGGGCGGAAGCGACACAGTGTGGCGCGGGCGGAGCTCCCACAGGTCGGGATGTGACCGTATGGCGCGGGACAGGAACGCGCCGGCTGGGACGTGACCTGTGGAACAGAACAGGTTGGAACATGAACACTGACCGAGCAGTGAACAGAGCCTGTGTCGAGGAGTGATAAGAAAGGACTGAGACAGATCAGGATTCGATCCGCTAGTTATAAGACACGCATTAGGTACTCTGCAATGCATAACGAGGCCTAAGGTATGCGAACCTTTTTATCATGTGGGTTGTCCTCAACGTGACTGTCTCGATCAGTCTAAACGGGATGGAAGTCCCACTCATTTACATTTCAAGGGTGGATGCATCCCTGCATAAATCCCGTGCAACGGCATCGCCTTCCTCGGCGGCGTCAGTTGTACCGAGAACAGGGAGGGGGGGGGGACGGATCCCTCTGTTTGAAATTCGGTGACTCGTTTGCACATTCAACGGGCGATGAAGCCTGAAAGTGAGCGCTGTGGGGAGCTGGGAGGCATGACCGCCGACCGGTTCCGTGTCAGTCTTTCCGCCGCTCGGACCACTTCCTCGTGCATTTATTCACGATGATCCTTCATGCGTGGCATCTGGCCGTGGGCCGGTGCGGTGGGTCGATTTCTCGCTCGCTCCGGCCGGCAGTTGGCTCGGCAGTTCACTCGGCGGTGTTTGGTGGCCACTCGGGCCATCCGGCCGACGAACTTTGGTGGCGGGGACGGGACGGGAGGGGGAGGGGTCGTGAAAGCGTCCCGAGCCTTGCCGTGCGTGCGGCCAGCGGGGGCCAGATGGCGCCGCTTTCGCCACGTCCGTCCGTGACACGGTGACACACGTGTGTCATGTGACACGCCGCCGTCGGTCGGTGTCATGCGCGCGGCGCGTCGGCACCGTCTATTGATCGTGAAGCCGAGCAGGCAGCGGCGGCGGCGGCGGCGGCTGCCGGACCGGATCACAGCCCCTCCCCTCCCCTCCCCCTCCTCCACCCGCCCGCCGCGACTCCTGCACTCTGCCCCGCCGCCCCTCCCCCTCCCGCCGTGGGGGAGGGGTGCAGCCCGCCTCAGCGCGGCTGTCGGCCGGCCGGCCGGGCGGTGCGGAGACCGGCCGACCGGCCACGTGGCCTCAGCGGCGGCGGTGGAAAATTCTCCGCCCGAGCCGCCGCGCCGAGCCGCGCCGAGGCGGCAGTCAGGTGCCTCCGGAGCTGGCTAATTTGCGAACGGTTGCGAGCGCAGGTCACGTCTGCGCTGTCGGAGCGGCCAGAGGGAGGGAGGGGAGGGGGAGGGAAGAGATACGGAGAAAGCCCAGTCACGGTGGGGAGGGGAGGGGAGGGACTGCCACCGTGGCAGTTGCGCCCGATGGTGCGTCATTTCCTTATAGGCATGTGGTGGCGAGTTTATCATAAGTCAAAAGATACAGGACTGTGGAACTGGTGCTGCGCTAAATTGAAAGAAATCAGGACGAAAGGACATCGGGGAAATCATGAATTTACATTGCGGGGAAATCGTTTTGACTTATCTTGAAAGAAATATATAGCCGCTCACTTTAACATTGCCGCTATAATCCGGCTAATGCCACCTGTAAGTTCATTGGGGGGGTCCCGAACCGTCCTTCAGCGACCAGCGTGCTAGCCCTCGTCTCAGCTGGTCCTCCCTCCCCTCCCTTCCCCTCCCCCCGCCTCCCGCCGAGTTATGAATTAAACCGAACCGAGCCACAGTTCCCGGAAAGCTGATGAGGCTGAATTCAGATGGGCTCCCCGAGTCGTCGCTGGCATTATGGGCATTTGTGAGCGAGCTGAACACGGCGGGACCTCAATGGAAGCCATTGACGCAGACCACCCGGGACCGCCACAGAAGGCGGACCTGTTTGTGTCCGCCGGTGATGACTTTCGACAAGGAGTCAGAGATGGAGTCCATCTTGTTTTTCGCTGGTTTACGAATTGCGTCTCTTGGAAATTTGGGAGTAATCCTTTGGAGTTTTGAGAGGTTATTTACGATGAGAAGTTTGTAAAAGATGATGCTCAAAGTTCGACATGAAAGGCTTTCGTTTAGTTATTAGATGTTTGAGATGCATTTGAGCTAGGTGGGGGATAGGTTTGGTGGGTTTGGGTGGGTGTGTCGCAGTGCCACACTGTCATATCAGTCGCGCCCCGGTGCTAGCCGGCTCCATATAGTGTGGACTTGGAGGTGACAGACCGCGGGCCCGTTTCTCTTTTCATGCACGGTGTGCTTAGAAGGGCGGGACGGCGCGACATTGGCTGCAGCCAGAGTCGCGGTCTGCCGGGAAGTAGTCGGCCCTTTCTCCCATCACTCGTCCCTGACGGCGCCATGCCATCCGACACCCGCTGTAGTCTCCCCCGCCCCCGCCCCACAGTCCACATGTGTCGCTGTACCGCCCGGCCTCGGATTACCCCTCCCCTCCCCTCCCCACACGGCGCGGTGCGCGCGCGCCGGCGGCGTCCCCCCCCCCTCCACGTCCCCCTGCCGGCGGGGCGGCCGCGCGGCCGGCCGGCCGGCCCGCGCCAGTGGCTGGGCTGACGCTGTGGTGTGTGCGGGCAGCGGCGGGGCGGCGGCGACGACCGGTGGACATGCTCCAATCGGGCACCCCTGTCAACAAGCGACCCCGCGTCGACGCGCGCGGTCCCATCAGCAACGGTCCGATGCCGCGGCCGCTGGTGGCCCTGCTCGACGGCAGGGACTGCTCGGTGGAAATGCCCATCCTCAAGGATGTGGCCACCGTAGCGTTCTGCGACGCACAGAGCACCTCCGAGATCCACGAAAAGGTCAGTCCAACGAGGATGCTGGGAAGGAAAGTGGTTCACTTAAGTGACGGTGGGATGGAATGGATGCGTGTTTGGGCATTGGTATGGGACTAGGACGTAAAAGGATGAATATTGAATGTTGTGCTGATGGTGTCTTTACTGAAACGTTTTTTCTACGTATTTCTGTGGTGGCCTGGTGCACGTTTTATGTTGTGCGATTACTCTATGCATTTAGCAACTGTCCAGTGTAGATTTTGTCTGGTGCTTGGTGGCGTGTTGATCTCGTCGATTGCTGTTCCTATTTAATGTGACTTGTTGTATCACTGTATCATGTTGTATCATTCGCCTCCCTGTCAACCTGTCTCATCCTTGTAATCTAATTGGCTGCTCACATCGTGTGAAATCGCCAGATTTATAAGAAAAATCGTGTTTGTATGCTTTAGATCAAGACTTCCAACTGGGATGCGCGCGGGCGGCAAATCTGATTAGTTCGCCATGGTACCGCTCGCTGGGCTGAGAAACTGCGACTCGCGGAAGATACGTCTTACCGATCTATTTCCTGGAGCTAAGTCGGTGCGGCGGTGTTTGAGTTTTGTTTTCGCGGCCCGCCGGCGGTGCTGAACTGCCGTGAATTTATTCGGCTGCGCTGTAGAAGTGCTGCCGACTTAAAGGAAATAGTTCACATTTTAACATGGGTTTTGAACTGGAATAGCAGTTCCGTAGCTTGGGCTGAGACTAGCATAAATCAGGAGCTTTTACAGCCCAACGATCACCTTAGGCAAAGATATTCTATTTCTCGTCCCGAAAAATGTGTCTTGCGTTGAGGATGTGTGCCTTGCATATATTCGCATCCAGTATGAAACGAGCATGGGTCCCGAAAATTCTTCAGAAACTAGAGAAATTATCTACGTAAACTCTAGAGAAATTCGCTCCAGTGAGGCGCTCCAGTAACAAAAGCACGAGCAGATCGCCCAAATGCCGGTGGCCGCGATAATTTCTCTAGTTTCTGAAGAATTTCCGGACCCATGCTCTTTTCATACTGGATCGCGTGTGCCTTACAGAAACTGAAAAGTTCTTCCTATATCAAAAATATAGAAAATAATCTTTTCTTGTAAAAAGGTTTTATTTTCTTTGCTGATCATTTTGAACATAAAAAATCACAAATCCATTGCAAAAAAAAATAATTTCGTGAAAGTGAACTATTTCCTTTAAAGGAAATAGTTCACTTTCACGAAATTATTTTTTTTGCAATGGATTTGTGATTTTTTATGTTCAAAATGATCAGCAAAGAAAATAAAACCTTTTTACAACAAAAGATTATTTTCTATATTTTTGATATAGGAAGAACTTTTCAGTTTCTGTAAGGCACACGCGATCCAGTATGAAAAGAGCATGGGTCCCGAAAATTCTTAAACTAGAGAAATTATCACTGCCACCGGCATTTGGGCGATCTGCTCGTGCTTTTGTTACTGGAGCGCCTCACTGGAGCGAATTTCTCTAGAGTTCTCGTAGATAATTTCTCTAGTTTCTGAAAAATTTTCGGGACCCATGCTCGTTTCATACTGGATGCGAATATATGCAAGGCACACATCCTCAACGCAAGACACATTTTTCGGGACGAGAAATAGAATATCTTTGCCTAGGGTGATCGTTGGGCTGTAAAAGCTCCTGATTTATGCTCGTCTCAGCCCAAGCTACGGAACTGCTATTCCAGTTCAAAACCCATGTTAAAATGTGAACTATTTCCTTTAATGAGCGCCCTGTTGCTCGGGGATATTTTCGCTGTCAGATTAAAGATTCCGCTGCCAAACATCTGCTTATTTTCAACTGCCTATCGTCGGAGGCCTGCCTCGGAACCAAGAGGTATCACTATGGTGGTGCTTGACAGCTGACGTGTCACGTATATTCGACGTGCGTGGCGTGATAACTATGTGCGTTTTTGTACACCTGATTCATTAAATTTTATTTCCCTGGTTTGGTGCCTCGTGGTTTAAAAGACCACTGAACATAGTTATAGCTTCTCTGATAATTCGGATATTTTAAGTTTGTGTGGTAACGAATTTTCGATTATTTGAGTTCCTTGATTCGTTAAGATTGAAAAGGATTGTTTCCTGTTTTCAGTCAAGAATATTCAACATCGGGATTAGGTCCCATTAGTGTCTAAATATGTAATGCCCTTTTCAACTGCTAGATTTGCTGATGAAATTGTGTTACCATCGTTCATAAATGTTTGCAGATATGTTGATTTATGGTGATTATGAGATAATTGCACTAACGCCTGGATCGTTTATTTCCCTTATTACCCTACGTCACACACGAGTCAGCGTAGTTAAAACGCCGGCGCCGCGCTGGTGTATCAGAAATTACCGCTGTCGATTTGTCCGCCCAATTGGAAACCATAGCAGCGAACACAAGAACCTCTCACATCACAGATCCAACAGCAAACAGCGACTGAAAAACTCCGCTGGTGTATCAACAGCTGTCGGCGGCGGGCGTTCATCGGTGACGGCGGCCCACCGTGCCCCGGCTGCCACGTGACGGTGTATCGGGACCATCTCTGAGAGGCGGGCTGAGTCGCAGCGACGCCGCGTCGGCCGCGCGCGCTGAGTTATTGTCGTCACGCCATCCGATCTCGGACCGACCCCGACCGGCCGGCCTTCGCCCGCTCTGGAATAGCTCACGATTTTTTGTCCGGCTCATGGGCCGTGGGCGTGAGGCCATGTTTAGCCGGCGGCGGAGGCGGACGGACGCGCCGGGAGAGGGAGGGTCGGCGCCGGCACCTGTCGGTCCGGCCGACCCGCACCCGTTCGCCGGCCGCTGCGGTCACGGAGCGGCCGGGCGCGCCGCCGCCGGACCGGTCAGGGCAGCCGGCCGAGACCCGCGCGGCACTTTCCCGCCACTCGGAGCGGCGTCCATTAGCGCGCGCCGGCGGCCGACCCGCCGCGCAGCGCCCGCCGCCACGTAGGCCGTTCTTGCGCGCGGCCGGCCGGCGCGCCGTCCGTTTTATAAACAGGGTGGGCCGGCGGAGGCCACTTGACGTGGGCCGCCGGTCGGCCGGCCGAGATGTGGACCGGGTGGCGGCGTCGGAATGTTCCCGCCGCCATGTTGGGGAGGGGTGGGGGGGGGGACGCCGGTCTCCTCCGAGGACAGACGCCGAGAAGACGCGGCCGTTGGCTCGAACGGGGAGGGGGAGGGGGCGACATCGGATCTCTGGCGTCGGAAATCGGGAAACTCTGAAACACTGTGGAGCGGCTGGACGACGGGTGAAGTCGGTGCCGTGTTGGCGAGTTGGCCGGAGTCGGCCGCCTGTTATCGATGGCACAAGTTGGGCCGTTGTTGGAGCCAGTTGGATTGGGGCGTGATGCGAGTGGCGGGACGGAGCGGTGGAGAGCGGTGCTTTTTACGGCGCGGCGCGCTCCGGCGGCGGGCGCGGGTTTATTAATTGTCGGACGTCAGCGGCGGACGAGTCATCTTCTCTGGGAGGGCGGGGAGAGCCCGAACCGAACTGGGCCGGGAAGTGGCTCCACCAGCCGCCTCTGTGAAAGCGGAGGGAGGGGAGGGGAGGGGTGACTGAGGGATGGCCGACGGAGAGGAGGGATGGGGAGGGAGGGAGGGGTGGTCAGACGGCCGGACGGGCCGGAGAGGGGGAGGGTGGGGCTGCTGGGTAGATTAGGGAGAGCTGCTGGCAGTCTGGCAGACCGGGGAGGGAGCGCTAACAAAGACGGGTGGTTCCGAGACGATACTCGGAAAGTGACTCGCCTCCCTGAGCTGCTCCGAATAAATCACACCGTTCTGGCAATAGCGCCTATCTACGGTGCTATATCCACGGTGTTGTACTTACGGCGTCACTAAACTCTCCACATGTGTTTATCATTGCTGTGCAGGCGCCATCGAACCGCAAGTCACAGTCATTACCAAACTCGTACTCTGAGCTCTGACCAGCCGATCCCTGGTCCACCCGGCCAGTGCACGGTGCAACTGACCGCACCCTGGTGCCTGGACTGTCCCAGTACCCTGCCGACTGGTAAACACCCCCGCCTGGTGCCAAGTGCCCCCTCCCCGGCCCTACCCCACCCCCAGACTCCGGTACGAGTTATACGGCTCCGTGTCAGTCGCCGACACACGCGGGGGACGGGTGACCTCATTCTGTCGTCGGACCAAGGGACTGCTAAACCAAGGGAGCACTGAACTGAACTGCCGGGTCGGGGACGGACCATGGGTGAACCGTTTTCAGTCCTTGAGAGGACAGGGCTAAGTCCTCAGGTATCTGATAGGTCTTAGCGTCTATGATGTAATCCCGACCAAATCTTTGATTGACCCCGTGACCTCGCGATACGCCCCTCCCTCCCCTCCCCTGAGAAATCACGGTGCAGACGAGCGTGAGCGATGTATACGTTGTCCTATCTGTCCGGTGTTTGTTCGTGGCTCGCTGTGGCCTCCAGTCGTGGTGACTGGCCGTGGGTCTATTGTCGCGGAACAACAGACTTGGTCTATTGTCCCGGGATAAATGTAGTTTATGGTGGTGACTTGCTGCAGGTTTTGGCGACTTTCTAAGACTCGCAAGCCTCAGAGTTTCTCAATCTCGTAAATCACCAGTGGTGCGAGTGACATTGTGAGATCCACGGATCACTATTGATCTTCCATTCTCTCTGTTGTGTTTGATCCGCCCGGTTCCGCGTTATCTTCGCCGTCTTTTATCAACTTCATTCACGCTTGATTACCGATTCGGCTGTCTCGCCGCAGCTATGGACTGCTGTTCGTTCCACTCCTTTCTTTCCTCGCTCTCTCCCCGAACTTTCTCCGCCACCGGTGACCGACAGTCGACAGTTCGGTCCAGATTCTCCGCGCAGATAAACGGTGACGCAACTGCAGCGGGGCGGGCGCGGACTCGCAACTTTTTACTAGAGCAAATGGCGCCGTTGTGTAAACGTAGCCTGTGTTTCACGAGATAGTGCGGTGTACACATTGTGACACGTTCGCGGGTTGTGACAGTTTGTTGAACGAGGCTAGCATGTGTTGAC